ATAATAGCAAGGAGATTGAATCCATTTGGGTGTCTATTAGTGGATATAAAGGGAAAAGGCTTTTAATGGGAATTTGTTACAGACCACCAAATGATACTGATGAAATTAGTGAGAAACTTTACAATGGGATTAAAATTTCAGATGTTAATGAGGTCATAGTTATAGATGATTTTAATTTCAGGCATATAGATTGGGAAATTCTAGAGTCAAACCATGAGGGAGAAAGGTTTCTGGAAACTGTTCCAGATGGTTTTCTTTAGCAATTGGTCAAGGAACCTACTAGAAGCAATGCTATTTTAGATTTATTGTTAACTTCAAATATAGAAATGATTGAGAGGGTGGTTATTGGTTACAAATTAAAAATAGCTAATTTTGAAGGGATGCAACAAGAATTATTGGTTGTGATTTGGGCAGCTGAGTTATTTGGAAACACTGGTCAGATTTTGGAAAATTTGTTAAAGACAAATTTTTAAATATTCAAGGTAAACATATTCCTTATAGAAAGAACAGGGTAGCTGCAAGTAAAAAACCAGGTTGGCTCACAAAGAGTCTAAGAGATATAATTAAAGAAAAGCATCATAAATTTAGAAATTTAAATTGACTGGTATGACAGGAGACTTAGATGATTATAGAAGATCAGGAAAGTTGGTGAAACTGGAAATTAGGACATCGAAAAGGATGTATGAGAAAAGGTTGGCTGAAAATGTAAAATTTAACAGTAAGGATTTCTTTTAATACATTAAAGGTAAACAAAATGTTAGGATGGGGATAGGACCCTTGAGGGATAGTAAAGGAAGGTTAGTATCTGATAGTTATGAGATGGCTGGGTTATTAAATTTTGCTTTTTATTTGGTTTTTACTAATGAAAATTTAAGCAGTACTCCACATCTTGAACAGTTGATAGATGGAAACAAGATTGAACAAGATGGTTGCATTAATTTTGAGCTGGTTAAAAAAAAATTGTGAAGTTTAAAGAATGATAAAGCTCCTGGCCCAGATAATATTTCCTCA